ATCCCAGGGCAAGCCAAGAGATGTGTAGACCTCGTGGACTCTTTGACTGGCTCGAGAGGGCCTGGCAGCCTAATATAAGCCTCCTACCCTTTGTCCTGAGTTCTGGCCTGTTTACAGAGGGGCAGCCGCTGCGGAGTAGCCCAAGTGTTCACTCCACATTGCTGCCGCGCCCAGGCTTACAGCTGATGTCAACTCAGCTCTTTAAAGCAAATGTTAATAGAACCAGGTCCCCGTGATAGCTGACAAGCAGAGTGCTCCCTCCTGGGCAGGCAGGCACGTATGCCCCTGATGACAGCTGAAATGGACTTTTGGTCAGTAAAAAGGTGTGTAAATATTGGTTGTGAATCTGCGCTGGGAACCAGCAGGACTTTCTGCCTGCTCTGGGACTGATGTGTGCAAACAGACCCGTCGCTTTGGTGCTTTACCATCTCAGCCTCGGGGGGGCTCCATCTGTTTGTGGGGCTCCATCATCTGACCAGCTTGGCTGTCCATATTGTCTCTTGACCTGGGCAGAAGTTGGAGTCATTTCAGTTGCTACCTTGAAAACAAGCTCCTTAGAAGACCTTGGGGGCCCAGCTGGCTTCCCAAATACATGTTAATATTCTTTTCTGAAAAGAAGAAAAAAAGGTGAAAGAGAGTGTTATTTTTAGTAGAAACATAAGCTTCCCTGGCTCAGGTCAGAGCCAAGAGGTACCCAGCACACCATCAACCGGTCAGTCAATCCATAAACATTTATTAAGCCCCTCCTGTGTGCCAGGCACTGTGCTCAGCACTGGGGATTCAGAAAGAGACAAAAGACAGTCCCTGCCCTTAAGGGGCTCACAGTCTGATGGCCTGTAGGGGAGAAGAAGCTGGCAACATGGGGCAGTGGAGGAAGCCCTGGGTGGAGCAGGAGGAGCTGCTTTTGAATCCTGGCATTAGAAATGTCACATCTGCTATCTAGGCTTCCTCTTCTGGGTAATGAGGGGGGCTGAGGTGACCTCTGAGGTCCATCTCTTCTTTAAATTCTTGGCCCATTTGAAGCCCTCTCTCATCTGAGGCCTTTCCACTGCCTTGTCATAATGATCAGAGATCAGCAGCCCCACTGGGAACTTCATTTTTAATCTAATTCTCCATGCCCTGCCCTGTGGATGCAGAGAGTGGGCAGGATTGTGATGTTTTTTCTGCCCAAGTCCCTGGGGCTATGCAGGATCAATTCTGAGGATGCTGGAGAAGGGGTTCTCGGCGGCAGTGGTGGTGATGGTGGTAGTGGCAGCAGTGGTGGTGATGTGGTGGCGGTGGTGGCAGTGGCAGTGGTGCTGGTGATGATGGTGGCGGTGGTAGTGATGGTGGCGGTGGTGGTGGTGGCAGCAGTGGTGCTGATGGTGGTGGTGGTAGCAGTGATGGCGGTGATGATGGTGGTGGTGGTGGGCCTTCTTCTCGGAGAGGACCAGTGACATCCTGGTGGTGAAGTCTCGACTTGTGCATGAGTGGGGCAGAGCTCTCACCAGGCCCTTCTGCCCTCCTCTCTCTCCAAAGTCTGGCCGGGTTCACATGCATTGTTTCCGGGACACCATCTCGTCCTCGGCCGGCCCCTTCTCCTTTTGTCTTCAACTTCTCCCAGCGTCAGGCTCTTTTCCATTAAGTCCCGCCTTCTCATTATGTGGCCAAAGGATTGAAGCTTCAGCTTCAGTATTTGTCCTTCCTATGAACAGTCTGAGTTAATTTCTTTAAGTATTGACTGATTTGCACTCCTCACTGTCCGAGGGACTCTCAGAAGTCTTCTCCAGCACCATAATTCACAAGCATTGATTCGACAGCACTCAGCTTGCCTTATAGTCCAGCTCTCACAGCCGTACGTTGCCACTGGAAAAAAACCATAGCTCTGACTCCGCGGACCGTTGTTGGCAGGGTGATGTCTCTGCTTTTTAGTGTGCTGTCCAGATCGCCCTAGCCTTCCTTCCAAGGAGCGAGTGCCTTTTGAATTTCATGGCTACAGTCGCCATCCACAGAGATCTTTGAGGCCAAGAGCATAAAAGCTGATGCTGTTTCTTTTTCCTCTCCTCTGTTTGCTAGGACATGATGGGACAAGTTGCCATGATCTTGGTTTTTTAGATGTGACGCTTCAAGCCAGCTTTTATATCTCTTCCTTCACCCTCATTAAGAGGCTTCTCAATTCCTCTTCACTTTCTGGCGTCAGAGAGGTGTTGTCGGCATACCTGAGATTGTTGGTATCTCCCGCAGCAACCTGAATTTGGGCTTTTGGTTCATCCAGCCTGGCCTTTCATAACATGTACTCTGTGTATAAGTTAAACAGACTCATAAAAGTGACAACAGACAGCCTTGTCGTCCTCCTTTTCCAATCTTAAGCCAGTCAGTTTTCCCACATTCGGGTCTGTTGCTTCTTGGCCGGCATAGAGGGGTCCTCGGGAGAACGGCAAGATGGCCTGGCACGCCCACCTCTTTGAGGACTCGCTGCATTGTGTCATGAGCCACACGGTCCAAGACTAAGTGTAGTCGACAAAGCAGAAGTAGGTGTTTTTCCAGGAGTGTCCGTGCTCTCTCCGTGATCCCGTGAGTCTTGGTGATTTGGTCTCTAGTTCCTTTGCCTCTGCCCTTCTGCTAATTCTCAGTTCGCAGACTGCTGAAGCCCAGCTTGCAGAATCTTAAGCATGACCTTGCTGGATTGTGAAATGAGTGCAGTCGTCCAGTAATTGGAGCATTCTTGGCACTGTCCATCTTAACGGTTGGGACGTAAGCTGATCTTTTCCAATCCAGTGACCACTGTTGAGTTTTCCAAATCTGCCGGTATGTTGAGTGCAGCGCGTTGTAGCATCATCTTTTAGGGTTTTAAATAGTTCAGCTTGGGGGCAGCTAGGTGGCGCAGTGGATAGAGCACCGGCCCTGGATTCAGGAGGACCTGAGTTCAAATGCGGCCTCAGACACATAACACTTACTAGCTGTGTGACCCTGGGCAAGTCACTTAACCCCATTGTCTAGCCCTGCCAAAATAAAAAATAGTTCACCTGGAATTCCATCACCTCTACTAACCTTATTGTTACCAATGCTTCTAATTTTTAGTATTGATAGATATTAATCTACCTGAACAGAAGCTGTGTGGAGTTCTCAATAATTTTAAAGAGAGAAAAGGGGCCCTGAGATTGAAGCTAGGGTACTGCTGATCTACACCAAAGCCTTGCGATATTTTGGCCAATGAAATCTCAGTTTCTCTATACATTATACAGTCCCTCCTTGACAAGGACATATAAAATATACAGTATAAATATAAAATTAGTAAATAAATAAACTTCTGCTTTGAATGAGAAGACGAAGCTTGACAGTAGTGGGGCTGCTGCTTCTGGATAAATATTGCTCACAATGACCTTGACAGCATTTGGTATGTGAAATTTGAAAAGCTTTCCTTGGCATGTGGAGCATTCTGGAAGCCCTCTCTTTCACTCCCTCTGGTCCATCAGCCAGGAGCTGGGACCAGGCACATTTTGTCCAGAAGGTCTCCTCCCAACGGACAAGGTCTCTTTCTTGATACTTTTAGGACACATGGTGATGAGGGACTGCTTTAGCGGCATTGCGAAGCGTGAGTGGGTCGAGTGTGAGGTCGGTCAGTCCCCATGGGCAGACCCAGGTGAAGTGTTTCTGAAGTGAGCTGGTGGAATGGCCTCCTGTGAGTTCAATTATTGGGATCTGTGAGGGATGGCTCACAGTGAAGTTCCCTTATTAGTATCTCCCTGCTACACTCTTACCTCCCTGCTCCGCTCCTGTCTCTCTCCTGCACTCTGCCTAAGTGTGAGAGATGGCCTGCAGTGCAGTTCCCACAGGCCTAAGTTTCATTCCTCCAGAAAGCCTTGAGTTAAGTTTCCGTTTTCCCCGATAAGCTTCTATTTCTCCAGCACCACGTCAGCCCGGGTGGGGGAGCTCGGTGCCTGGTTGCTCCTACTTGCTAGTACATGTGTGCATCTAGCCCAAACATGGGCATGTTTGCTTCTATTGGGTATTAGCTGCCGCGTTTAGAATGTATGCCCCGGGGGCAGCTAGGTGGCGCAGTGGATAGAGCACTGGCCCTGAATTCAGGAGTACCTGAGTTCAAATCCAGCCTCAGACACATAACACTTACTAGGCTGTGTGATCTTGGGCAAGTCACTTAACCCCATTGCCTGAAAAAAAAAAAAAAAGGATGTATGCCCTGAATACCCAGTCAAAGGAGAAAGGGGAAAGAGAGTGGGAGGGGTCATCGTGTTAGGGGATAAAAAGCCAAGGGTGCAGCTCCCAACTCATACTCTCCTGTCTGGCAATGGCGACTAGGGGCAGTACCCTTTCTCGTGAGAAAGCAATAAACTCCTTTCTGCTTTCAAGGTAATTAAGTCTTTGTTTTTATTTTGAGTGGGTGGTCTCTGTCCCACATAGATCCTTGCTTTTACAGAGCATTTTCCTCTTCTAAATGTGTGCAGAATAGCCCCAGTGACCCTTAAGTGTCCTCCCCATGGCTGAAAACGTTAGTAAAGAACCACTGTTGAAATGAATTGAGCAGGGAAAGCTTGCATTCATAAAGCACTTGACAATATTATCTTCGAATCTTCTCAGCAAGCCTGGGAGGTAGGGGCTGTTGGGATGCCCATTGTACAGATGCAGAGACTGAGGCTTGGAGAAGAATGTGTTGCTCCAGGTTGCATAGTCAGCAGCCCAATTGGGATGTAAATGGGTCCTCTGGCTCCTAGGGCCAGGGATTTCTCTGCCACCCAGAAATTCCTTCTGATCTTAACCTTCCATAAATCCCAGCATAACAGGGGATGTGGGCCTGAGCACCCACAGCAGTGGAGGGCCTTCGTGGGGTAGCTTGGATTCAGAAGATCTGGCTCTCAGCTGTACCAGTTTTAGGCAAATGCCAAAGCTGGTCTGTGCCTCAGTTTCCTCACCTGTGAAGTGGGATAGCAGGCTGTGAGCTCCCATTCGAAGCCGGGGTTGCGGGTACCCCGGGATTTGTCACAACTCAGCTTGTTTTCTAGTGTGTGAGCTGCGATCCCCTTCGATGAGTGACTTTCTCTGGGGCCTGGAGAATTCTGGCTGGCTGAAGCACATCAAAGCCATCTTGGATGCGGGGGTCTTTATCGCCAAGGTGAGTGGTCTTGTCAGCCCTGGATGTCCTGCCTGGGGTCATGTGGCCCTGGGTCCGTAGAGGCCAGGCTAGGCCCAGGAAGCTGGAGCTGGCCCATCTAAGCCAGCGCCTGGTGGGGGGCTGACGTGTCCACTGTCCATGGCCAGGCCCACCCAAAGGAAGGAGCTGGGGCCGGGAGGAGCTCTGGGGCTCGTGACACTCCTCTGGAGGATGTCCCCAGGTGTCAGAGGGGTGGAAATCAGCACGGACAGAGAATCCCTGAAACTAGAGGAGCTGTGGTTCCTACTGGGACACTGCCCTGCCTCTCAAGTGCACACCCAGCAGGAGTGCACCTGGGGGTAAAGGGGGGCAATGGGTCATCCCAGCCTGGAGCCAATGAGTCCAAGCCCCCTGATTTATAGGGGAAGAAACTGAGGTCCTGAAAGACTAAAGTAGCCACCCCAGGGTCAACAGGAGTTCACTGATCTAGAGTGAGAAGACACCTCAGAGACTCCTGACTGACAGAAGAGGAAACTGAGGCATGCAGAGTTTAGTGACTTCCCCCAGGGAGGGAGGGATTCGAACCCAGGACTTCCTGTCTCTGAGCTCGCTGACCTCTCTGCTCTACCGCTTCCGGGCCAGGGAGGGACAGGGAGCTTAGACTCAGGGCACCTTTGTGTCATCACAGTGGCTGGAATGACAAAAACAAAGGGGCCGGGTGGGGGCCATGGGTTCTCTGTTCTCCCCAGGCTTAGCTCAGGAGTTATTCCCCATAGGGAAGATTGAGGCTGGGGTGTGCCCCATATGTGACAGGGAAGATGAAGCTGGCTATCAGCCACAGATCCCCACTGTGACCCTCTGGAAATCCCGTGTCTGTCCCTTCCCTACTCACCATGGCGGCCTCAGAGGTCAGTGTGGAAGCCCCCACCGAATCTGGACAAACCCTGCCTGCCAGAAGGAGCTCCTTGACCTCCCCTAGTGAGGATATGGCCTCAGGAAGCCACAGGAGCTGTGGCCATGGCCTCTTCTCGAGCAGGGAGGGTGCTTCCATCCCCCCTGGAGGGGAGGCATCAGCCACCTGCCTCTCGCTGTCACAGCAGCTCTGTCCCAGCACCAGCCCTGACCCTTTCAGCTGACTCTGTTCTCCCGTCTTATTTGCAGGCCGTGGCTGAGGAAGGGACCAGCATCCTCGTCCACTGCTCAGACGGCTGGGACCGAACAGCCCAGGTGTGCTCAGTGGCTAGCCTCCTCCTGGATCCTTACTACCGGACCCTGAAAGGCTTCATGGTGAGCTGCCAAAGCAGGTTTGGGGGCCAGCGGAGACCCCCTGCTCCCCTCCCACATAGACTGAGGCAGCTAGCCCTAAGCCTCCTCCTGCCAAGCCTCCCCACCGGTGTCCTTTCATCCCCTAATTGTGCACCCTTAGCCCCTTCAGCTAGGTCACTGACCCTGCAAGATCCCCGGGCTGTTGGCGACAGGCCTCACGGGACACTCAGTTCACCTGATCCCTGAACAGGAATCCCCTCTTAGCACATAGTAAGTGCTTCACAAACGCTGGTTTCCTCCCTCTACAGCGTCCCTGAAAAGCGGTCATCTGGTTTCTTCTTGAGTACCTTTAGTGATGGGAAGCTCACTCTCTTTCAAAGGAGGCTGTGCCCCTTTAGACCAGCCTTAAGCGCTTGGAAATGCATTGTACTGAAGTCAAGTCCATGTCTCCACAACATGGAGTGCTGCAGTTACTGAATTGGCCAAAATCATGGGCCCATCTTATGTGCCTTGTGTAGGTAAAAGTGATTAGGTCCAGACTTGGCTAATTCAAATCCTGATGCTAATTCAGTCATAAGAGTGGCACTTCCACCGGGATGCTCGCCTTGCTTTGGGTTAAACGCAGGCGTCACCATGGGCGGCCCCATCGATGTAGGGCTCTTCAGGAGGTGGCTGAGTTTTCCCAAAGACCACAGGGTGAGCGTCGCCTACCCGGCGTGCCTCGGCAGCCGCCTGGCTACGTGTTTTCTGAGCCGTGTCTTTCTTCTTGTAGGTATTAATTGAAAAAGACTGGATTTCCTTCGGGCACAAGTTTCATCATAGGTAAGGTTGTGCCCTTGCCTAGGGCATACCAGTGGTGATCTGATCTTAAAGCTGGAAATTCTTTAGGGGCACGAGAAGAGCTGCCTGGTTGAGGCAGTGGGCTGGCTTGCCTGACAGACTTTTCTCTGCCATTGAAGACATATGCTGATTTTTACTGCAGATGCTGTCATACACATGTCGTTAACACGGGTGTCACAGGGGAACAAACGTCCAGCTTCTGGCTAACACCCTTGGCAGCTGGATCTGATGTATTTCAATCTTTCCTTGGATTCAGGAACTCATTGATGGAAGAGCCCCCATCGGTGCACCTCACAGCTCAGCCACGCTTTCTCATTCTGTGTGGCTTTGGGCAAGTCACTTCCCTGCCAAGAGTCTCACTTTCCTTAGCTAACGAATGAAAGCGTTAGCTTATAAGACTGCTTTGGTCCTTTCCATTACAAATCCTTTAAAAATAGAGGATTAATTGCAAAGATCCCTGTCCAAATTCAGAGTCTTCTTGTTGGTAAAGACTCCCTGGCATGGAAAGATGCACATTTTTTGTAGGTAGTGGGCGCTTTATCTCCACAGCTAAGGTGACTGAGACTCCTAGGGGTTCTGTGGCTTGCAGTCAGAATAGTGAAGTCCCAGGTGTGTGACCTTCAGAAACCATTCACTGAATTCCATTCTGTATTCACAAGGCACTGCACATGGTATGAGACGACCTGGGCTCTTTTGGACTTTGCCAGCTTCTGGGCCCCTTCTGCTTTATGAGCTCGGCGACCCTGGGCAGGTCACCTAGCCTCTGGGAACCTCAGTTTCCTCATGTGCAGAATGGGAATAATGCTAATGGCACTGCTGACCACACAGGACTATGCTGAGAAGAACATTTGCTCTGGAAAGGGGAGGTTTCAGGCACCTTCTCTATGTGTCGGCACCCACTGCCTGGAGTGGTACTTGTGTCTGTCTGTCTGTCCCTTTGCCAGCTTTTCTGCTCAGGGCCTGGGCTGGGGCCCCTTTCTGTCTCCTCGGCCTCCTTTTTGTCCTTTTCCCCTGTGGGCACACCTGCCCATCCCCTCAGAGCCTCCTGCTGTCCTTGCAGGTACGGCCATCTGGATGGAGACCCCAAGGAGATCTCCCCGGTCATCGACCAGTTTCTCGAGTGTGTCTGGCAGCTCACGGAGCAGTTCCCCTGCGCCTTTGAGTTCAACGAGAGGTTTCTGGTGCACATGCAGCATCACATCTACTCCTGCCAGTTTGGAACCTTCCTCTGTAACAACCAGAAGGAGAGACGGGAGCTGAGGCAAGTGGAGTCCTCCCACCCCCACTCAGCGCTCTGTCTGCTGAATGCAAAAGCCTTCTCTTTGGCCCTCCATCGAGGTTGGCCTGTAAGGGGGACTGGCCTAGAGTGGAAGGCGGCATGACTAGACCAGATCAGCCAATGTTTGTGGATGACAAGAGCAAGCTGGCAGGTCCAGACCTGTGATTTATGGGCGTAGAGCAATCCCAGTGCGCGAAATCCCTCAGTGATGCAGGTCAGCCACTCCTCCTCAGTGGATGGTCTGAGAAGTTACCCAGAATTTTTAAGTATGTCGATCAGTTTTGATGATTTTCTCCCCTCTTCTTCCTCTTTTTCTTTAAAAATATTATTTTTTTGATTACATGGGATAGCTGTCTGGGAGGGCAGATGGGGAAAGTTGATGTAAAAGCAAAAGCTATCAATGCAAATCTATGACTTTTTTAAAAAAGTAAGTTGTTAAGAGCTTAAATGACTTGCCCGGGGTTGCTCAGTCAGCAAGTGCTAGAGGTAGGGCTTGAATCCAGGACTCCCTCATTACTGTTTTTCAGGAGCCCTGCTGACTCTAAATTCATTTACCTATAAAATTTTTAGCCAGGTGGCACCATAGTACATAAAGCAATGGGCCTGGAGTCAGGAAGACTCATCTTCATGAGTTCAAATCTGACCTTAGACACTTCCTAGCTGTGTGACCCTGGGCAAGTCACTTAACCTTGTTTGCTTCAGTTTCCTCATCTGTAAAATGAGCTGGAGAGGGAAATGGCAAACCGCTCCAGTATCTCCGCTGAGAAAACCCCAGACGGGGCACAAAGGGTAGGACGTGGCTGAACAAGGAGAAGAATGTTCAGGTTATGAAACATGGCCAAAGCCAGCTTTTTGCAGTATCTTCACATGAAGCTGGCGAGTGCATGCTCAAATGCTTTTGGTAAGCTTGGTGAATCTGGGCCATCCGAGAGTGCTCACTGCCCCTTCGGGCTGACATCCCTGCCTGAGGCAGCGTGCTTGAGAAGAGCGCTGAAGGCAGAGGTGGGGCCCTGGGCTCCCCGGGGTTCTCCCGCTGGCTCGGCCACTGCGGGACCCCGCGAGGGGCTCCATCCGTAAAGTCAGGGGGCGTGACTTGCTGGTCACGAAAGTCTCCTCTCAGAGACGCCTGGATTCTTGGGAAGGATTTCTGGTGGATAGTGTTCATTCTGTCTCTTAGGATTCAAGAAAGAACACACTCGCTGTGGGCTCACCTGTGGAAGAATCGGGCTGACTACCTGAATCCCCTGTTCCGAGCGGACCACAGCCAGGCCAGGGGGACGCTGCGGCCCCCAACCAGCCCGTGCAACTTCATGTACAAGTATGGGAACTCTTCTGTTATCTTTTTCAGGCATAACAGATATTTCTGAAGCATGTGCTGGTGCCTGGGCCCTGGGCTCAGCCTCAGGGAGGTGTAAAGTAGAACTCAGAGCCTGTGGCTGCCCGTATGGACCAACCAGCCCCATGGGGAGATGCAGTGTGAATGCACATCCCTCAAATGTGACTATATTTGAAAATATATAAGATAACACATTCAAAAGTATAAATCACTGAATGAACAAGTGAATGAATAATGAATGAATGAACAAGTGAACGAATGAATAAGTGAATGAACAAACGAATGAACAAATGAATGAATGAATGAACAAGTGAATGAATGAATAAGTGAATGAAGAGTGCATGAATGAATGAATGACTCCTTGTCTCTGCACTGGCTGTCCTCCATGCCTGGCATAGGCCTCCTCCTCACTTCGGCCTTCTGGCTCCCCCAGCTTCTTTCAACGCTTAACCAAAGTCCACCTGCCACGGGAAGGCTTTCACGATGTCTTTTAAAGGTAGTGTCTTTCCTCTGTTGCTCATTTCCTACTTATCCGCTACTTAGCTTGTCTGTACACACGTGTGTGCTTGCTGTGACCAGACTGTAAGCTACCTGAGGGCCAGAACTGTTTTTGCCTTTCTTTGTGTGCCCAACAGGTTAGGCTTAGGGCCTTAGCAGTGTCTGGCATGTAAGTGCCTAGTACATACTCATTGATGGGCTGAATGCACGGAGGGATGAAAGAAAGAGCATTTACTAAGGGCTTACAGCGCTTCAAGGTCTGGGGATTCAACTGTAAGAGCCAAGCAGTACCTGCCCTCAGGGAGCTTGTGTTCTAACGGAGGGGGATGGCACAGGTGGCCTGGGAGGAGGGGCACCCAGCTTCAGCATACTCCTACATAATCTGAGTACCTCCTTATGCGGGGAGGGAAGTACGTTGACAAGCCCGGCCAGGAATCATGGCGGGGTTGGACTGATCCTGGCTCCAGACCTCAGGGGTAGGGTTGGGTCCAGGCCGGTGAGGGTTCTGTCTAGGATGTGGAGATGTGCTGCTGCAAGAGTGGTGGGGTGAGATGGTCACACCCTGATTGGAGAGGCACAAATCCAATCTAGAGGAGCCTGGGGGAGAGAGGGCTGTGGGAAGGCCACCTGAAGGATGTCAGGGGGAGTCACTGTTGGGAGTGACAGAGACTCAGGAAGAATAGAAAGGTTGCCTTGTTGCAGTGAGCACAGTCAGTCATCAAGCATTTATTAAGTACCTTCTGCATGCCGGGTACTATGCTAGTGGCTGGGGGTGTAATGAAGGGGAAATCACAAAGATGTGTGGTCAGGTCATTCATTCCTGGTGGCCTCTTCTCCATCCTGGCCTTCCTACCCTCTCTCTATGGAGTTTGCTGCTGTGGCTGGCTCTCCCTTCTCTGAGTTTTGTGATGCTGCTGCTGCCGCTGCTGAGTTCTCCTGCTGCTGGGTTCTCCTCCCAACTGCTGGGTTCTCCTCCCAACTGCTCGGTTCTCCCGCTGCTGGGTTCTCCCACTGCTGGGCTCTCCTGCTGCTGGGTTCTCCTCCCAACTTCTGGGTTCTCCCACTGCTGGGTTCTCCCGCTGCTGGGTTCTCCCACTGCTGGGTTCTCCTCCCAACTGCTGGGTTCTCCCACTGCTGGGTTCTCCTCCCAACTGCTGGGTTCTCCCGCTGCTGGGTTCTCCCACTGCTGGGTTCTCCTCCTAACTTCCGGGTTCTCCCACTGCTGGGTTCTCCCACTGCTGGGCTCTCCTGCTGCTGGGCTCTCCTCCCAGCTGCCCTTGCTGCTCCTTCTCTGCCTCCTCTGCTGGACAGTGCACCATTCAGGTCCTCCCGCTGGCCCCCACCTTCCTTCTTCAGCTCTAGGTCTCTGATCTAGCCCTTCAGCAGAAAGAGGGACATGGTTTTTATTTGTTCATGAGATCACGGAAAGCCTCCTTAGAGTCCAACCTGTCACCTTATATATGGTGGTGTTCCTCCCAGAGATGCCCATGATGCCTCCTTTACAGACCAAGGCCCACAGAGGTCCACATCACCCAGTGAGGCCGTGGCAGAGCTCTGGATGGTCCAAGGTGTGGGGGATGACTCATCTCCCCTCCTCATTTATTACTTCTTCTAGCTGGGTGCATATTGGGATTTCTCCCCCATTTAATAAGTCTTTAATTTTTTTTCCAATACACGTAGTTTTCAACAGTCACTTTTATAAAATTTTGAGTTCCAAATTTTTCTCCCTCCCCAAGATAGCAAGCAATCTGATATAGGCTCTACATGTACAATCATGTATCATTTCCACATTAGTCACGTTGTCAAAGAAGAATCAGAAGAAAAGGGGAAAACCATGAGAAAGAAAAAACAAAAAACAAAACAAAAGTGAAAATCGTCTGCTTCGATCTGCATTCAGACTCCATAGTTCTTTCTCTGGAGGTGGATAGCATTTTCTATCATGAGTCTTTTGGAGATGTCTTAGATCCTTGCATTTCTGAGAAGGGCTGAGTCTATCAACGTTAGGCATCGCACAATGTGGCTGTTACTGTGTACAACGTTCGATTCTGCTCACTTCACTCAGCAACTGTTCATGCAGATCTTTCCAAGTTTTTTCTGGACACGTGGGAATCTTTACTCTGAATATCCATTCACTGCCACCTGCATACAGATTGTGAGGTCAGAGAGGGCACCAGTGTCAGGAGCCAGCTGTTTCCCATCATTCTCATTTTGTGTGATCTCACTGGAAGCTTTCCCTATGCCCCCCTTCACTCCCTAGTCCCCTGACATCTCCACAGCCTAGACAGAATCTTCATGGGACTGTACCCAACCCTAACCCCTTGAGGTCTCGAGCCATGATCAAATCAGCTCTGCCATTGTTCCTGGATGGGGCTTGTCAATGTACTTCCATCCCTGATTTTCTTCTTGAAGAAAGTATTAAAGAAATGAAAAAAGAAGAATGATGACAGATATCTGCTTTTTTTGTTTGTTTAAAATAAAGTCCATAAAGGAGCAGAACAGGGACTTTGGCGACCTGAAGGGCCACGATATTGTCCCTGGGTTTAAAAATGAACTGATTGTTGTACCAGGGTGCGGTTAAATCCCTAGAAACAGGGTGGGTTGGGAGGAGAGGTTGGTGAGGAGGACCAAGTATCCACCTGGGGGCATGTGCACCTTTCCCAGCAGGCTGCTCCATGACAGTGTTACAGGAACATCCATCACTATCCTCATTTTACAGATGAGGAAAGTGAAGCCCTGTGAGCCCCAAATTGCAAACGACTTGTCCGTAGCCTTACAGCTCTGCTGCAAGCGGCCCTCCAGTCCACTGTCTGTCCACAGAGAACGCCCTCCCATCATGCGTCAGCTTCTGGGTGATTGGATTGGCGTCTTGTGTCTAAGTACCAACCCCTGTTAATATTTATAATCCAGAAACTGAGTGATTCTTGGTGTGCCCTGCCCACCTCCCTTGCCCCCTTTTTGCCAGTCTGACATTGTTGGGCAGAAGCTGAAGGATCTTGCCCAGGCCCCGGGGCCAGGGGAAGTCATGCTTTGTTTCATAGGTTGCCATGTTCTTGGAGAGCAGCCCCGCCTAGCGCATGTCCCTTGCGTGAGGAAGGCCTTCAACTGGAGAACTTCTCATAGCACTGGGTTTCTAGACCTGTCAGAGCTACAACCCACTCACTTCTGGCTAAACCCCCTTGAGCCCCTCCAGCTGCACCCCAAGCCGAAGGAGTTCCTTGGCTCCATGTTCTGGGTCAAGCCCTGACCACGTGTTCCCTTAGGGATTCATTTCTTAAGAGCCCGGGGAGGGGGAGGAAGGATATTGTACAAGTGACCCCCAGGTCACAAACCTTCCATGGGGTTTTCCTCTAAGCCCAAGTGATGGGGAGAATCCTGTGTGGCTCTCCTCAAACGGGCTGGGGGAAACAAAAGAGAGAAAATTAGGGGACAGTTACTGGCTTCCTGTTTAGCGGTTCACCGTTCTGCTGCCACACCTGGCTTTTCAGGACTTACTGGGTAATTGACTATATTCCTTCAGTTTACTGTTGGTTTGTTTGTATCAACAAGCATGTATTTTCTCTCCTGATTATTCCCCCACCTCCATAAAAAAAAGAAAGCCCCAATATCAAATACACATAGCCAAGCAAACCAAATTCCCACATTGGCCGTGCCCAAAGATACGTGTCTGATTTTTCATCATGATCCATCTCTTCGTCAGGAAGTAGGGAGTAGGCTGCCTCGCTCAGTCCTCTGCTATTATGACTGCTTGCTGCGGGGAATCAAGGCTACAGGTCTTTGCAATTTCTTTTCCCAAAGTGGTCGTCATTGCATTCTCCTGGGTTCTCCTGGTTCCAGTCGCTCCCCTCTGCATCAGTTCACAGAAGTCCTCCCAGGGTTCTCTGAATTGTCTCTCTTATCATTATGACAGTGCAGCAGTGTTCCATCACACTTGTTTAGCCGTTCACCAGGTGATGGGCACCCCCTCAGTTTACCTTCACAAAAAGAGCTGCTATAAATGTTTTTGGAAATGTGGATCCTTTTCCGCTGACCTCTTTGGGGTGCAGGTTTAGCAGCAGTGTTGCTGAGGCAAAGGCTAAGTGATTTGGGGGGCAAAGCTCCACATTCCTTTCTAGAATGGCTGCTCCAGTTCATAGCTCCAGCAACAATGCATTAGTGTGCCTGTTTTCCCACAGCCCCCCCTGACCCCAACATCTGTCATTTTCTTTTGTGTTTTTTCCTTTTTTGAGGCAACTAGCTGGCACAGTAGATAGAATGCTTGGCTTGGCATCAGGACAGCCTAAATCAGAATCCTTCCTCACACATTTACCGGTTGTGTGACCCTGGGCAAGTCACTTAACCTCTATCTGCCTCAGTTTCCTCATCTGTAAAATGGGGATAATAGTAGCACTTACCTCTCAGGGTTTTTGTGAAGAGCAGATGAGATAACATGGGATGTGCTTTGCAAACCCCAAAGTGCCGCATAAAAGCTGGATATTGTATTATTTTCCAATCTGAAGGGAGTGAGGTGCAACCTCAGAGCTATATCCACTTGTGTTTCTGTAGTCGTTTGAAGCATCTCTCCTTTTGAAAACTGCCCAATCACATCCTTTGACCACTTCTTAGTCAGGGAGTGGGTCTTGTTCCTTCAAATTGGATTCAGTTCCTTTGCCAGAGAACTTGCTGCAAAGATTTTTCCCAGTTAACTTCCCTTCTAATTTTAGTTGCATGGGCTTTGTTTAGACAAAACCTTTTAAATCTTGTATAACTGAAAGTGTCCGTTTCATCTTCCGAGTTCTTCTCTCTCTTGTTTGGTTGGTTATGAATTGTTCCGTTATCCATACATTTGAAAATGTGATTTATTACGTGTTGCTCTAATGTGTTTATGGTATGACCTTTTAAGTCTAAGCCAAGTGGTATCTGATGGGCATCATTGGCCTCTGTCTGTTTTTAAGACTTGTTCTGCCTTGCGTCCCATCTGCACGCCCATCCCTTGAGTCTCCCAGCCCAGAATCCCTCTTTCTCCCTCAGGGAGCTCCTCAGAAAAGCCATTCTCAGTGATTGTTTCCTTTCTTCTCCCAGGGATATACAGTTGGTGCATGAAACTGCCTGTAGGTGGCTCAGATGGAACTTTGAGCCTGACAGTGTCTTGGCAGTAACCCCCGGCCTTTGTTGTCTCTAGGTTTTGGAGTGGAATGTATAACCGCTTTGAAAGGGGCATGCAACCTCGGCAGTCAGTGACCGATTACCTCATGGCGGTGAAGGAGGAAACGCAGCAGTTGGAGGAGGAGCTGCAGGTCTTAGAAGAGGTAACACAGGCCTGAGGCCAGTGGCTTTTTTTTTTTTCCATCACTGTCTTGTGTGAGAAGCCAGCAAGCCCCCTTGGCCTTGTCTGCCCTCACGCCTCCTCCCCCTGCCATCCTGTATGCCGTCACCAGACCAAGCCCAGAGTGCTGCTCTTGTGAGGCATGCCCCTGCTTCAGAGTCAAGTCTGGACCTCTCTGCCTACCTTTGTCTAGCCATCTACTTAGCCTCCCTGTCCCTTCCTTACCGCCATCCCCAACCCCACTCACCTTCTGATTGGTGAGAGCTTGCACCAATATGGCCAGCCCTGCCTCAGACCCCTCAGCTACCATTCCTCATTGGTTCCTTTCCCCTAGCATTCCAATGAGCCTTTCTTCCTCCTTTCCTTCCTTCCCTCTTCCTTCCTTCTTTCTTTCCTCTTTCTTCACCTACCTTCCTTCCCTTTCCTTCTTCCCCCTCCCTCTTCTTTCCTTCCTTCCCTCCCTTCCCCCTCCTTCCTTCCTTCCTTCCTTCCTTCCTTCCTTCCTTCCTTCCTTCCTTCCTTCCTTCCTTCCTTCCTTCCTTCCTTCCTTCTTTCCTTCCTTCCTTTCTTCCTTCCTTCTTTCTCTCCCCTCTCCCTTCTCCCTTCTTTCCTTCTTTTCTCTCCTTCTTCACCTTCCATCCTTCTTTCCTCCCTTCCTTCCTTTCTTCCACCATCTGCACTTCCTTAATTACACTGGCTTCCCTTCTCTGAACTGATATTCTATTCAGAGTTCTAGATAGTAAGATCCTTTTAGAAAACATGAGTTTGAGATGCTTCTGGCATGTCTAGGTAGAGATGTTTGGCAGAACCCATGCTAGAAGGGCAGATGGTAAATGGTGAACATTCAGCCTTCCACCTCTGCTCAATGAAACTTCTTCAGTTAATCAGTAGTCAGTCAATAATGCCTTATTAAGCACCTACTATGTGCCAGGCACTGTGCTGAGCACTGAGGACACAAAGACAGAATGGAACAATCTCTGTCCTCATGGATATATGTGTGTATGTGTGTGTTATGTGCATGTATGCATATATGCATATATGTGTATGTATGTATGTATATGTGTGTATGTGTGTGTATGTGTATATGGATGGATGGATGGATATGTTGTGGTTTGAGAGGCTGTGACCCCTCAAAGACTGAAGTACACGACAGGGTCTTCTGCAATGAATTCACAGACTCAAGCATTCTTTAGGTCAAGTTGGCAAAAAGTTTATTGTTACGCTTTTCAGCGGGCAAGGATTCTTAAGGATCCTGCAACCTTAGAGAGGTACAGTTAAAGTTTATATAGGTAAAATACAATAAAACATGTGCCAAATATGCTAACTAGGGGATTCAGGGTGGGCTTAGGGAGTGGTTAAGGAGTGGTCAGTTCTTAAAAGAAGATGCAGTTCTTGTACTTACTGCGCAGGCGTTTTACCCAGAGTTCACTGGGAACAGCCCACAAGGGGGGCCACACGGAGGTGTGGTTTTAGGCCTGCTATGTCACTAAGTCAACCAGAGTTCAGGGTAACTGAGAGCTGTCCAGTCTGCCTCCAGTCCATGTCTTGTTAGACAAGATAGATGTAGGGAGTATACATATGTCTTAAGTCTAGAATACAGTTAATGAGGAGCCCAGGATGTAGATAATGAGGTGGAGTGGTAGTATAGGTAGTCCAGTGGGTAAGAATGTCTTTATGACCCAGTGCAAAGCCAGTTCAAACTAATAATTCCTTCATGTGCTGTTTGGAACTGCACCAGGAAAGAGATAAGGGTCTTGCTGGGGCCCACTTATGAGTAACTGCTAGGCACAGGGTCCTTGGGCTGGGGAGAAACTGTCAGGGACAGTGTTTCTGAGGCTAGGGAGAAATTGGGGTCCAAGTACAAGCACCCAAACACAAGCACCCAAGCACCCCATCAAATATGCACATATAAGCATGTGTTTATATCTGACATACACACATACATATATCCATATGTGTGTGTATATACATCTATATCTATCTATATCTATATCTATATCTATATCTATATCTATATCTATATCTATATCTATATCTATATCTATATCTATATCTATATCTATATCTATATCTATATATCTCCATGTTTTCTCCTCCAGTAGAATGTGAGTTTGTATAAGACAGGTAGGGGAAGGCTAGTCTAGAGCCTGGTAGAGCAGGAAACGTAGAAGGTGATACCATAGTTAAGTCTTGAAAGACACAAAGAATTCCAAGAGTCAGAGGTCAGGAGGGAGAGCCTTCCAGGCATGGGGTTCCAGGTAAGGTCAAATGCATGCCCATAGGAGATGCCATCATGGGTGGCTTACAGAAAGCAGGTCAGAATGGCTGGATGGCAGAGAGTGTGGACAGGAGTAGTGTGTAAGTAGATGGGAAAGGCAAGAAGGGGCCAGATTTGATGAGATTAAAATACTAACAAAGAAGGTTCTTTTTGATCCTGAGGTAATAATAGACAGTCGCTGGAGCCCAGTGAGTAAGGAGCGGGTGCCATGTTCAGAGCGTACTTTAGGAAGATCACTTTGGAGGCCGTGGATGTGTGTTGGGAGCAGGGAGAAGCTGGAGACAGGGAGCCAGTTACAAGATGTCTGCAATTGCCTGGGTGAGAAGTAAAGAGGATTTGGATTAGGGCCATAGCTGCGTGGGGGGAGGGAGAAAAAGGGATGTAGAAAGAGGCGTTGTAGAGGTAGAAATGGACACTTGGCCACTGACTAGATCTGTGGCGTGAGAGAGAATGAGAAGTCAGGGTGTCTTCAAGGCGTCAGTGTGGGTGTCTGGAAGAATGAATGAATGAATGAATGCCATTTACTAATCAATAGCTAGCTTAGTGCTCCAGGTATCAATTTCAGCCTGCCCCCAAGGCCCTGACTTTCCAATGGGAAGGGCAGCATACATTAGGAGTGGGGGTGGGGGGAATATGTGCCAGTGGCATGAGTGGTTTGGAAATGGCCAGGAGGTCGGTGGAGGTCCCCTCAGTAATGACAGAGCAGTTCAGAAGAAGAGCAGCTTTTAAGGAAAGGCCAATGAATCTTCTTTCAGACATGTGCAGTTTGAGAGCTTACAGGACGCCCAGTCCAGAATGTGGGCCAGGCGGACAGCGATGTGGGGCCGAAGCTGAATTAGTGGTGACGACAGAGATCCGGGAGTCATTGGCATCTGGGTGATCATTGCACCCGTGGGAGCTGGTGACAACATCCAGTGAAATGATGGGGGGGGGGCCAGAACAGAGCTGGAGAGACCCTCCGAGGCTTCCATCACTGAGGGTAAAGGGCGTGACCTGGAGGAAGGCGCAGCAAAGGAGAGGAGGAGAGCAAGGGAGAGCTGGGTCCAGAAAACCAAGGAGGGTGGTCGGCAGTGTGGAAAGGTACATCGGTCAAGAAAAATGATGGGAGGGGCAGCTGGGTGGCACAGTCCAGAAGTCAGGAGGACCTGAGTTCAAATCCGGCCTCAGACCAAACGCTTAACATTTACTAGCTGTGTGACCCTGGGCAAGTCACTTAACCCCAATTGCCTAAAAAAAAAGAAAGACGATGGGAGGGCGAGGCCCTTAGATTCGGCAACTGAGAGATCTTTGATGTCTTTGGAGAGAGAAGTTAAGCGCTGCCAGAGGGGAGTGTGAAGAAAGCCAGAGGAGACTGACCATGTCAATAGGTATTCATTAATGGGGATACAGAGAGAGGCAAAAGGCCGGCCCTGCCCTCAGGGAACCCACCTTCTAACGTGAGACCACAAGCAAACAGTTATACACAAACAAGATATGCACAGAATAAGCTGGGGGTTATTGTTGACTGTGACATCCGGGAGGTGCAAGGGAATTGGAGTGAAGTGAGACAGGGCTGTGCAAAGTCACCTGCCTCACCTTCGCCTCTGGAGTCCAGGGGCCAGATGTAGATCTGACCCTAATTGGGCCCCATGCTGTGGGGGACATGGGCCTTTTTAAGCTAAGGTCTTTAATGGTCTCAGTGTGACTGCAGCCACATTAAGCCTAGGAAAGAAGAGAGGCAAAGAATGGCCTCTTTTATCTAGTTAAAAGCAACGACGACAACAAAAATCAGTCTGGGAGGAGAAGGCCCTCAGGGTTGCTGGCCAAAATAGAAACAATTGCTATTTACATTCACTGTGAGCCAGACTGGTCCCAAACAGTGACTAAGTGAGGCTTGGCCTGGGACCTGTTGTTGGCCAATCAAGGCTGCAGCTATCAGTGCCTCGGGGCTAGTCGGCTTCAGTTTCCTCCATGGTAAAATTCAATGATAACAGCATCTACAGCCCAGACTAGCGGTGAGAGTCAAATGAGGTCATATTTGTAAAGTGCTTTGCAAACCTTAGAGTTCTCTAAAAATGCTAGCTATGAGCTATCATTATGTATAAAAAAAGCAGTGTGGAAATAAATGGTTGGAAGGCTGCCATGTGCAAGAGGGATTTGACACGTTCTTTTTAAAAGGAAGACAAAGGCTTGATATTGGGAAAACCATTGAGTGCTGGAATGGGAACGTTCATGGTTGCTTGTCAAGGTCCCAGGGTTTGAGTGGGGAGACCTCTGAGGTCTTCAGGTCAAGACCGGATAGTGAGTCCTGCTTCTTTGGGCAAAGGTTGGATTAAATGTTTGAAATTCTGTGACTTGGAAACCCAGGTGTTCTTTCTATTTCATAAAAGCTCTGTGGTTATTGAATAGAGTGAACAGAGAAAATGTCCATCACCCCAAACAAATGGAAACTTTTTCTTTTTAGAGACTGGAAAAAATCCACAAGATTCCACTTAGCTACAAGCCAGGGAAGAGAGAGCCCAGTGCGCCACAGAGCAAACGTCCGGGGCTGTCTGCCTCCACCCCCAGTGTGGGGAACCCCGCGGCAGATTCCAGCGGACTTCTGAAATCGTCGCCCTCCCTGAGCCGGTCCCAAGGAGACGACGATTCTGCCCTGATTCTCACGCAGGAGAACTTAAAGAGCTCCGATCCGGACCTCTCGGCCAACAGCGACCAGGAGTCTGGGGTGGAGGACCTGAGCTGCCGCTCCCCGAGCGGGGGCGAGTGCTTGCCCAGCGAGGACAGCGGCAAGGACCCCGATCCCGATGAGGCGGTGTTCCTCACCGCATGAGTCCCCCTGCCCCCCAGGACTGCCGGGAACCGGAAATGTTTCCCCCAAGAGGGGAGCCATGCACTCCAAAATGGAATGGCCAAAATGGAGAGTGGGAAATGGGGTCCCGTAGCCAAGGGCCGTCAATCTGTAAGGAGGTTTGAGCGTAGAAAATTGTTCAAATGGTAGAAGCTTTCCTCCCCCCCTCCAAGTATCATGAAAATCAAGGTAGAGAAGTGACTTTATAAACATAAAGGCATAGTGCTTTGGGAACTGGATTCAAATGAGAAAATACCCTCAGTAATTTTCGTTTAAAGCTTGATATATAAATTCTAGGTCACTTAAACCTCTTTCTTTTAAAATCCTTGAAAAGAAGTCTGAGAAACAATAATGATAATCATTGACTTAAAAAAAAACTTTTGAAAATTCCCCAAAGAGAGGTCCTGATGTAGAACAAGAGAAAAATAAAATTTCTTAGACACAAAGCATCTGGGGGGAGGGAGAGAAGGAAGAAAAAGAAACGCCTGGGAACATGAGTCAATTCAGCAAATGTGAAAGTGCCTACTGATTGTTAAAAGGCACTAAGGCTGCCTTCAAGGCTCTCAGGAGGATGGCGTCCATAAATAAGCAAGTGAGCAAATACAAGATTATTGGAGTAGAAAGAGAGCCCTAACAACTAGGGGGATCCGGGAAGGCTTCCCAGAGGAAGCACCAGAGCGCAATTAGGGTTAGGGTTCATGCGTTCCAGGAATGGGGACTGAGTCTGGAAAGCTGCAGAGGCAGAAATGGGATAGCAGGCTAGTAGGCTGATGTGAAAGAAGGCTGGAGAGGTAGATTGGAACCAGCTCAGTTGCGGATGGGGGGAACAGGACATACAAATGCTAGGTGGAGGGATTTGTGTTTATTTTATCCTGGGGCGGTAGGGATTCCAATCAGGTTGGGAAGGAGATACTGGTGTTTTGGGAAGATTTTTGGCAGCTGTGGGTGTGGAAAACTGGGAGAGAGACGGAAGGCAGGGAGGCAGTCTAGGGAGGAGAGGGAAGGACCAGTGATTTCAGGGGTAGCCTGACTGGGTGTGAGGAGGAAGCAGAAGGGAGTGCAGGGTGACTCCCAGGCTGCCTGTGGCGATGCCGTGGATGACTTTATGTGCAAGATGGGGAGTTCTCTTGGAAAGGCTGAGATGCTGATGGGTGTTCCATTAGTCACAACAGCTTCCCCCCTGGCACCATCCTGTGTGTGAGGGAGCTCATCAAAGAGGCTTTCATCGTAGCTGGTACCTGAAAGGGACCCTTGCCTTTGAAGATGTCCTGGTCTTACCTCCTGGCTTCCTAAAACCAGGCCTCGGGTCATGGGAGATCACCTTCTAGTCTGGTCCTCTCAAGTTACAGATGAGAGAAATGTGATGTCCCCAGTCCCAGAGGTAGAAGATGGTGGTCAGTACTGTTGTGAGTGCATTTAAAGGGTGGCCAGGGATGTCCATTTCCCTTGGTGTAAAGTAATCCCTCCTTACTCAAGTCACATTGAAATTCAAGCCATCCCCAATCACCCATCTTTTTTTGTATGGCCTGTATCATAGAGAGAAAGCTCAGTGGCAGCCTCATAATCCTACTTCCTCCACTTGTAATGATTCTTAACCACAAACTCTGGAAATGAAGCTTCTTTAAAACAAGAACAAGCCTCACTCCAGCCCATTGGTCACATGAATATACCTCAGTGGCAAAGCTCGGCTGAAGGGGAGCAGGTCTTACCCTCCTGCCGGGTACCTAGCCCACCCACTTCTTCCCCACATCAAGAGAGAAAAAAACCACAGCCTTGAGACTCACTGATGTTGCTGGAGATGTGAATTAAGAGCAGAGCACGTGACTGGGACTTTCCTTCCTAGAATTCTTGGTATCAACCAGCCAGTGGGAAGAAATCTGGGGGCAGGGTAGCCACAAAGTCATGCTGTGGTAGGTTACCCTAGACTTTATTTAGCTAGGCCTGGTTGTCAAGAGGAGCGATAACGGGGCTCTCGCTGAGTCCTTGGGTTAGAGATGGAGGTGCCGACGCGTAGCAAGGAGAGCCAGGTCGATTTTGTCATCACTGGCTTCAAGTCCCCCAAGCCTAGTGGGGCCGGGAGGAGAGGGACTTCCCCATTTTGCCTCGGGTTTCTGAACATAGTGTTCAGGTCAGCGCATAAGACCCTAAGCTATTTTTTCTTGTCCTGACCTACTTTTGTAACATCTGGGATTACGTCCCCACGGTCTTTCTACCTCGTATAATGTGGTTTGGCACGGGACCACTTTCTCTGGGCTAATGCAGACAAGACTATGCTTTATCACAGCTTAATGCTCCTTCAGCCTTTCCTCACAGAATGTGTTCGCTCTGGGAACCTCTCCAGTCTTTGTTTCCATTTCAAAATACAGACTAGCTGGGGTCTGTTTGGACAAAGTCGAAGAGTCATTGGTGATCCCCAGGTCTAGCTGGTTATGTGCTGCCCCGTGGTCCATCCCAGCATCAGGTCAGCCTTTCTGAGACAGACTGCCAATGCCAGACACTGGCTTTGGAAGCCTGGATTGACCAAGACCAACCTGACAGTTGTATTGCATAGAAATGGCCTATTTTAAGATGTAGTTTTCCCGGGTTTATTACGCCAACATTTTATAGGTCATTTGAAAATTGTCTACAGAGAAAAATGTGAATTGTAGACTTTTAAATGACTGGTACGGTCTAAATTGGGTAGTTATAATGCTAACTAATGAGTGACCTGTTCAGTTGTGTTTGGGTGTACTTTTAAATTGCATCTTAAGAATATTTCACTATCTTCAACTTCTGTATAAAATGAATCTGCAAAAAGGGAAGCAAACAGCAAGGGCTGCTTCATAAAATCAAGACTGAAAGCTGAGGAGCGACTTTGACGATACAGAAATATTCCAATAGGCATTAGCCATGATTGTGCTGAGGGCTGGCTCAGCAATCCCAAGACCGTGCTTACAGACAGATGTGTTCTGTTCATGTTAAGCCAAGTTAACATAGCCTCTGAGCGGTTCCCAAATGTGAAAGTGGATGGAATTTTGGTTAACTTAAATGTTTGTCTTGTCATGTATGTAGCGTGCAGACTGTGCCGATAAAAAGTACTCTTCAATAAATCCTTAAGATGCAAGTCGTCTTTTAAGTGGAAACGTCAAATGGCCAACATAGAGCTTCATTCGGTACCCAGGGGGCTGCTTTATTGTTCTTGGCAGGCCACGGACCACCTTTTCTGAGGGAGGTGGCTACTCTTCCTTCCTCAGTCCGGCAGGGCAGTCAGGACTCTCCGAGGCCAGCCAGGCCCACCCTTAATGCATTCACTCATGGAACCTGATAAGAGATTTCGCTCACTCCTAAAACTGGTTCTTCGAGAGCTTCTCAACAAGGTTGCACTGTTTGCTTCCATCGACACTACAGAATTCAGACTGATTTTCCTGGATGAAAGCCAAAATGGCAGGTAGTGGCCAGAAACTGCAGCATCAACAGCTCAGCTCCCGACTAGCAGCCTCAGTGACAACGGTGCTTTTCACGAGGCCCCGTAGGGACGGGACTGGGGAGGGAGCTGTTCAAATGAAGGCTTCTTTTCCATCAGGAAGCTGAATTCTTCATGCCAGAAAACCCTTAACAAGTCCACAGTCTTGTGTGAAGGATGGAAGGGCACAGGGAATGGACCATGGCCTGGAAGACCATTCCTAAAAAGAGTGTAGACTGTCCCCCTCTCAGCGCTCCACTGGTGAGAATGAAAGCTGCACAGAGCCCACGCTGGCCAGAGGCAGATAGAGGAGTGTCTTCTGGCCGACAGCATCATTTTACTGACCGTCTCATTTGATTTTCCAAACAGCCCTGATGCATCAGCACAGAATGGCATTGCAGTGCTCTGCTCCCAAGGGTGCTTGGGTCAGTCCCGTCCTGCCGTAGGGCTGTTCACGGAGGCCCCCCATATGCTTAGGAAATCCTCCTAGCCTCCACGTCTGAAGGGAATGCCCCAGTCATTAACTTGGGACCAGCCTGGTATTTCTTCTCCGGAGAGCTCCCAGGACACCAGACAAAGCAGGACGGCCAGCTTCTCTGGCTCCTTACCTCAGAATGCTTCCCCAACCCTTCTAGTTTAAATCTGAGAAAGGCAACAGAGCTGCAGATAGTGTGCCTTTAATCCATCTGCTCTGGCAGGGTCAGGGTTGGGGCACAGGGGCTATTTAAATACTGACATCTCTAACCTGGGCCCCCTTATTCAACTTATGCCTTGTACCATTTATTTATAAATTAGCAGAATAGCGGCCAAGAACCTCTGGCCCACTTCCACCCATAGGACAGCAAGAAGTTTAACTTAGCAGTGAATTTTGGTGGTGAAAACCAAGCCTCAGATACCAGGGCACTATAAATAACAACATACAGAAAAGGCATCCACCCCTCCCAGGGACACTGGGGAACAGAAAGGCCGGAGCATTCAGGCTTCCTGCCCAAGGCCTCCCCTCACACAGCTCCTGCTATGGCTAAGGGCACACAATTACAAAATCACTGTCAAGCAGCCCCTCCTTAAAACTAACCTCCAGTAAAGCTGACCAGGAGGAGGCTGAAGGTAAAGTCCTCGTTCGTGCCCACCGGGGACAATTCCAATGACCACTGCCCAGGTTTCCCTTGCCTATCTTCAGAACCTAAGCTGACCAAAGAATCTCAGAATTGAGACCGCAGGACAAAGGTCCACCCCATGCCTGTACAGGATTTCCTCCCCATCCCACCTCTCACTCAGACTTTGACTGAAGTAAGGGAGGGGAGCCCATCACTGCCCCGACAGCCCATTCCCCTTTAGGACTCCGATGGTTGGCAAGCCTCAATGGGCTTCTCAGCATTGCTCACGACTGGTCCTCATCCAGCTCTCTGGGGACAAGCATAAGGCTAATCTCTCTTGCTCTCGAGAGCTAAGCAGAGGTACCTTGGCCCTGATTCTTCAGGCATGATGCCAAGGTCCTTCCCTGTCCTTGATGATGAGGGCCCGGGTCTGACCATCTCCTTGCCAGCCCGAGCCCCACTGAAGGTTCTGGCTGCCAGGTCACACCTCCCTACAAAGATGCCTAACTTTTTCCACAAGAAGGAACAGTCCAAAGTATGCGAGGGTTTATAATGACAAAAGGTAACAAATGCATTTAGTCAACCTTTACAAGAAAAGTGTAAATGACTTTTATTTGTTCATGAGATCACAGAGAGCCCGCCCTCACATCTTACACAAGTTGGTACATCCTCCCAGAGATGCCCACAACGCCTCCTTACATACTAAGGCGCGCAGAGGTCACAGGCCTGACCCAGCTCACCCAGCGAGGCTGTGGCAGACCTCTGGCTTCAAAGCCACTAGTGTTTCCACCACCCCACACTGCTCTCATTTAGTCTCCAATTAGAGGTAAAACTCACTGATGAAAGGTTAGGGAAAAAGTGATGGGGTTGTCTGTGTCCTGACTTCCCTCTGCAGAGCCAGAACACATACCCAGTTTTTTTTTCCTGTTTCCCCTTGTGTAATGAGCTATTTAGAAAATCCATTTCTAAATGATCCAGCCTAGCCAGTCCTACAGGATGGCTTCATGTGCAGGGGCCTTGTCCTTCTGGACACAGCCTTCATTGAAAACATCAAACCAGTACATTTGCAGGGCAGATGCTGGCTTCAGAATCATTCGTTATATCCTTTGTGATTTCAAAGGTGCAGTTCTGGGCCCTCCTCCTGTCCCAGGTGCGGGGCCCACCTGGCCAGATGCATCTTCACCTTCCTGCTGCTGTGGCCAGAAGCACACAACACAAAGACAAAGCCATGGCCCGAAGCGCGGCCAGCCTTCTAGGGATGAGCCACCACCTCCTGGAGGTCTGTGGGGCTGCTCCGTGGATGACTGAGGGTCAGCCCCCCCCCCAGCCAGGGCCAGGCTGAGGGGGCTCCCAGGGGCCCCCAGAGCACAGGCCCCGAGTTAGTCACCACCACACCACAATGACCCGCTGGAGGACTTTATACTGACTAAAGCTGGACATATTGGCATCACTCAGGAAGAAAAATGTTCCTGAAAGATAAAGGGAACGTGATATTTTAGTGATCACTATCCCAGATAGTAACTTTTTTAAAAAAAAAGATTGCAGGAGGAAAAGGAAAAAAAGGCCAAGACTTTCTTTATAAATAAACCAGTCCATTTCAGTTAAAAATATGAATTTAAAAGAATATGAATTTATAAAATACTTGAATTTATCCAAAATTACATGCATAGGTATTTAATTTCTAATAATCAGGGAGTAGCAGCAGAAACTTAAATATGGTAAAAGACTTTATCAACAATAAATACAAAGGATATTTTAGTGCAAAGAGTGCAGAAGGATTTTTCAAACAAAGATAATAAAAGGCATCCTAATTTGTACAAAATCAGGCCCAGCTCTACGCAATGGATACAGTTAATCTCTATTACACAATACAACCATTAGGATGAAATGCCTGTTAGCAAATCACATCTATTGCAAATGTGCTTAATTGGGACTGTTCATTCTTCTCTTGGCAGTTCACGTGTTCAGGAAAATCTGCAAAGAAAAAACCCCTCCAATTTACTAGGGATGCACTTCAGACAATGACACGAGGGAAGTGGCTCGCTCCCTCCTGAAAAGCCTACGGGGCAACATCCTCAGCCCAGCCCAGAGAGCAGAGAACAAAGTTTGCCCAAGAGAAGCCTGCATCCAGCCAGCGGGCAAAGCCCCACCAGCATCAGAAAGAACAGGCCGGAGCTCGACTTGCAGCCCAGCGGTCACGCTGAGGAGGAGAAGGCAGGCTGGGGGGCTGGTGTGTGTGTGCCAGGCAGGATGGAGGGGATCTCCTCGGGAGGGGAGCCTGGCCAGGGATGAGTGTGAGGAGGAGGAGGAGGAGGAGGGTGGGGGGATTTGACAGGAAGGAGGCCCCCCACCTCCTCGGTGGACGCTCTGCCCTTACCTAGAGGGGAGCGTGGAACTGGGTGTGGGTAGCCATGGCCTGCTGAAGCTTCTCCTCTTTGGCTCGGCGACAATGGCAAATCTAGAGGGAACGTGGAGAAGGACCCCGAGTCATGACAGCCCAAAGTCCCCCCACTCCCCGAATGGGCCTCTGGGCCCTTCACCCTCCTCCCTCCAGGTCTGGTCTGTCCAGTCACAATAAGACACGAGACAAGCCTTCCACAGCTAGGAAGACTGAGCAAAGCTCTTGTCCCTCTGTAGCCGGGCAAACAGACGAGCGGTGGTTGGGGGCGCCATACAAGGGGGATGCGTGGCACGGGGCTCATGAGGACACCCCTGGCCGTCAGCGTCCAACTCCCATGGGCTACCCCACGCCCCAGCCTCTGCCGACCCCAGACACGCACCCCCCAAGGCAGCCAGCCAGCCGGTCAGTCGTCTGACCCAAGTGACCAGGCCGTGGCCACACACTGGTACGTACGGTTCTCTTCTCCATGAAGCTGCTGAGAAAATCATCTATCTCCATTTTGCCCTCGAGGAAGTCCTCGGCGAGGGTGTCTGACTCCTCTTCTGCCTCATGGGCCGCCACCTTCAGCCTTGCCTGGAGGGCACTAGCACTGCAGCTCTGAAAGACACAATGGCATTGGGGACTGCGGAAGAGAGGAGGCGCCCCCCACCCCCCTGGATGGACAGCACATCCAGAGCATTCTCAGAGGTGACGCCGGTGACCCTCCAAAGTCTTTTAGGAAGCACAGGCTTTCTCAAAGGCAGTGGGATGAAAATCACGTCCCACTCTGCACAGTCTGGGGACACTTGGGGAGTCTCGCATCACCGGACCGGGGTGGCTGCTACAGCCCCTTCCTTATGTAAGAGCCCAGAGGGGCTGGTGCATGGCATGCCCTGCCATGCCAACGGCAGGCCCCCCAGGCAGGAAGAGTCAAAACCCATCAGGAATCTTGTGCTGTTTCCTCACAGATGGAGAATGAAATGGAACCGTCTCACTTGGTGGGTACTGAGGATTCAGTGCAGCATCAACAGCACAGGAACCGCAAAAACACAGATATGAAAATGCTTAAAAACCGAGAAACGCGCCTTCCAGAGTGAGTTGTATGTGCCCAGAAACCCATCCTTGCTGCAAGGGGCCTCCCCTGCCTTCTCCACTCTCTCCCTACTTCTCCCCCCCCACTCCCTCTCTCTCTCCTCTTACCCCCCTCCACTCTCTCTTCCTCCTCCTCTCCTCTATTCCCTCTCTCCTCCTCCCCCCTTCTCCACTCCCTCTCTCTCCTCTTACCCCCCTTCTCCACTCTCTCCCTTCCTCCTCCCCCTCCCAACTTCACAACAAGCTTTTCCTCTTTTTCTTTCTCCACCTTACCCTCCCTGAACAAGCCTCTTCTTGCTCCCATCCCGCCAGCTACCAGAGTTACCTTCCTCAAGTCTGCTCTGACCAGGCTATTCCTCGAATCCCAGGACCTTTGGCGCCATGGAGCCCAGACTTCCTTCCCCTGGCACTTGTTGGTCCCAACCCAGCTTTCCAAACTCACTTCCCTGCACCCGGCCTCCGTTCCGTCCAGACCAGACCATGGCAGTCCTCTCCTGCCCCCACGCCTTTGCGATGCTCAGTCTGCCTGCCGGATTCCCACCAGCCTTCATGACCTAAGCACCTACTACCCAGAGGTTCTCAGGGAAGTACAGGGGACACTGCTTGATAGGGAGAGCCCTCTATGGTCTGCTGGGGAACGGGTACAAGTAACCATTCAAAGCAAGGACATAAAAAGGATGCAGGAGAGGACAGAATGAATGATCCTCTAGGCACACTCCCTCAGTGAGAAGAGGGGGCAGGGCCTTAACCTCAGAGGACCCCACACTCACCCAGACCAGCTGGGAAGGGCAGGAAGTGAGCGGCCCAGCCCTGAGGGCTGCAAAGCCTCAGTCCCTCCCAACTTCCCAGACAGAGAAGAGCAGAGTCTGCTATCCCCTCACCTACAGACATAACCCTCTCCTCAGGAGGCCCCCTAATCATGTCAGAGCCCCCCAACAACATGGCTCCGTCGCCTTGCCTGCGGCTGCCGTCCTCACAGCGCCTTTCAATGAGCCAACAGGAGAAGGCAAGTCTGCTGTGCAGCAGTGTAAACTTCCAATATCAAAGAGCCACTGTAGCTCCAATAAGGCTCATCCCTGGGCCCAGTCTATTTTCACTCCCTCCAGTATCAGTGAGGAGAAAGGACGGGTCTCACCCTCCTCAGGAGGCCACCAAGATGGAAGGGAAGATGCAAACAGAAAGGAGGCCAGCGAGGACGTGGGAGGGGAGGGCTGCCAAAGCCGGGCCAAACTGGGGTAGACTGGAGGTAGAGCTGACCAGACTTAGCAACTTATCCAACGTGGAGGGGAAGGCAGCGCCACAAACAGAAATGGCCAAGGCTGGAGAAGAGCTGGGTTTGCGGGGAGACAGGATAAGGACTGTTCTGGATACCAGCATGACTGGAACATCCACGTATGTGCTCATCTACCCATACGGGCACGCTGTCACCTGCAGAGCTGCACTGGCTGAGCACAGGAGCGCTGAGCACAACTTCAAGGACGGCACACACCAAGAAGAGTGGAGGGTCCAGGACCCACCCTCAGGGCATGCTCACACGAGCGGAGAGGGACAAGGGCTAAGGAGGTACCATCAGGTGGGCAGAAGAATGAAGAAAAGACAGCATCCCGGAGTCCAAGGAGAACCTGGACGCGCATATGTGCATATGGCCACACCCAACTACACAAGGCAGACACAAGCTAACCTGGGGGAAAGGCACCAGAGGTTGGGGGGTGGGAGATGGTGTGAGGAGGCAGAGGCCGAGGCTGAGGCCCCATGCAGGAGCTGGAGCTGAGGGTTCCTGAGACTGGCTGGGACAACACCCTCTGAGGCCAGAACGTGGCCCTGGAGGGGCCTACTGTGCAGAAGAAGGACTCCTTTGATCTCCCAGGCCCTCCCAGATCTAAACCCCACAACCCCAAGGCGGCCCTCTGCCACTGTCCTTCAGGGTCCCCACAAATGACTTTGGCATCAGGCTGTCCCCCAGCCCTGGGGCCGGCCGACGGGTCAGACAGACCCACCAAGGCTCCTGAGATGCGCTGTGGGGCTTTCACTGTCCCATCCTTCTCACGATGCTGAGGAAGGCCACAGCGGGACCCAAGGTCAAGAGAAACCAAAAGCCACACAGAAGACAAAGTCCTACCTCGCTAAGCTCATGCTGCCTCTGCATCTTCTTTTCAAAGCCTGACTTCATCTGTGTGAGCAGCTCATACTAAGGAAGAGCAAAAAGAGCGTGTTGGCCCCTTTCCGGTCCCATCCTTGGTGTGTTCTCCGTGAAAGTCAATGCACTGACCTTGTCGAGGACCGTCTGCCTTTTGGCTTCCAGGCTGGGCTCCAAGAGGAGATTTTTCCCTGCAAAATTAAGCCAACGTTTAAGCCAGTATCCAATGCACCTCTCGGGAAGCCAAGCCAGCGGGGGGAAGGGGGAGCAGACTCACGGGCAAGGTCTTCGATGCTCCTGACCAGCTCGTCCTTGTCCGCAAGGACCTGCTTCAGCTGCGGCAGAGTCGAGAACTGCTGCAGGAGTGCTTCCTCTTGCTCATTCATGTCCGTCAGCTGCGACAGGCTGGGAGCACCCGGGAGACAGCGGGTGAGCGCCCGGCCGCTGCTTCCTCCCCTGTCAGCACCCGCCCCTCCTCCCTCTTCCTTACCCCTGCCCCCTCTGTCTCCAGGTGCCCCACTGAACCCTCTTTCCTTAGTTCTCCTCCGTCCTCCCTTCTCTGGGCCCTTTAAGGCACTGCCCCCTCCTGCTTCTGCTTCTCCCCAACCACCGGGGTTCCCCCAGGCTCCACTGGGGCCACCTTCGCTCTAGACCCTCTTGCTTGATGGTGTTGCTGGGTGCCACGGATCCCACCGAGATCTCTACGTGGCCGCACATCACCAAATGCCCTTGGAGCCCCACAGCCACCTGAAACCCAACGTGCCCAGGACAGACCCCCCTCCCGGTCATCAGGTCATCAGCAGTAACGAGTAGCTCCCGTCACCGACTGTCCCGCATCTCCCGAGGGCGTTGCCTTCCTGCTGGTGACATTCAGGTGATTCTTGCCCGGCCTGTCGCTACAGCCTTCCTCAAGACTCTCCCCTACAAAGCCATCTTCCCATCCCAATGATCAGTAAGCCCAAGAGGCTTGTTGTCATGCTGAGGATCATCCGCTTGGCCGTGAGGGCCCCTCTCCAGCTAGCCTCTCCCCTACACCTCTAGCTTTCTCCTTCAGGCGCCCCTAGGTCTGGCCACACCAGCCTTCTGGTCTTTCCCAACCCTGACTCTTGGGTGGTGAGGTGGAACAGGGCTGGTCTGGGAATCAAAGGATTCACATTCCAATCCTCCCTTTGACAGCCACCCCATGTCACCATGGTAACACCTAAGCCAGCAAGCCCAGCAGAGCAGGAGGAAGCAGCCCAGCCCTCTACAGTAGAGAGACGTCTCCGAGAAAGACCGAGGGATCAGAGAATCCAAGAAGAAACAAGAATGAGTCATTTTTCTAGCCTGCGACAGCTGAGGGAAACAGCCAGCAGGAAATGCCGCCTCAGGAGTCGAGAGAAACATGAAAAGGAAAAAGATACTTGAGTGCTTGGAAGGGCCCACATGATGGCGCATTCCCTGAGAGCCCTCAGGTTACTGAGGATTGTGGAAAGAAAGACAGAGGCACTGGGAGGGGTCTCCTTATATTCTGATGAGCTTAAGAGAAAGAACGGGGAGGAAAACACTTACCATTTCACTGTAATCAAGACACATGAGAAAACTAGGGCCCCTGAGCCCCTCTCCTTCCCCTATGAACCCATCAGAGGAGGTCAGAAGACACCGAGTGAGGCGTGGAAATCCATTCAACTCCAAAGGGACACATGCGGAACTGGGAAGTGGAAGGGAAGACGACACACGGAGGGACTGGTCATAGAGAAAAGACACCAGCGTCGCAAGGGTGGAGGTTAGGAGAGTGAGGTCTGGACAAGCGGACAGAAGCACATTCACCATCCCCTGCTCGTTTAAAAAAGGCCCGAAGCAGAGGGGAAACAAGGATAAGAGTTCTAATGAAACTATAAGCCTATAATTTTGCTGAATAAATAAATAAATAAAACTGATACCACACTGACACCATTTACCAAGATAAGGGCAAAATAGACATGTGACCTAGATATCCTAAGAGACGGAGATACCCTGAGAAAACTAGAAGAACATGAAACACCTCAGACTTATGGACAGGAAAAGAATTTATGAATAAACAAGAAACAGACCATTAGGAGATGTAGAATGGGTAAGAACTTTTACACAAATAAAACCAATGTAGCCGGGATCATAAGGAAAGCAGAAAATTTGGGAAAAAATTTATAGACAGTTTCTCAGATGAAGTTCTCATATCTCAAATATACAGAGAACTTCGCCAGATTTGAGAATAGTCATTCCCCAATTGATAAATGGCCAAAGGATATGAACAGGCAGTTTTTCAATGAGGAAATTAAAAAATACAGTTACATGGAAAAAAACACTCTAAATTATTATTATTGATTAGAGATATGCAAATCAAAACAACTTTGGGATTTTTTTTCACACCTATTAGATTGGCTAAAATAATAGAAGGGGAAAATGACAAATGCTGGAAGGACATTATCGCACCTACCATTTTGGAGAATAATCTGGAAGTGGGCCCAAAGAGTTATAAAGCTCTGACCCAGCAACACCACCATTAGGTCTGCTTACCAAGGTGATCAGGGAAAGAGATCTTCATGTTTTAAGTTATTTAGAGCAGCTCCCTTTGTGGTGGCAAAGAACTGGAAACGGAGGGGATGCCCATCTAGCGGAGAATGGCCAAACAGGTCGTGGTGTGGGATCGTGAGGGAGTACTACCGGGCTGTACGAAATGGTGAGCTGGCCGGTTTTAGAAAAACATGGAAAGACGTGAAATGACGCAAAGTGAAGTGAGCAGAACCAAGAGTGCTGTATATGGTAATAGCAATGTTGTTTGAAGAATAACTGCAAATAACTCAGCTATTCTGAGTACGACAGATACTCAAATCAACTATGAAGGACCTATGGTAGAGGATGCTATCCAATTCCAGAGAAAGAAATGATAACAAGAGAAGGACATGCAGTGTGGTTTTACATAGATTTGTAAATCTGCATCAAACAGTGTGGGGGGGGGGAGGGAGGGAGGGAAGAAGGGAGGCAGATAGCCTGGAATTTAAAGCATAAAAAAATTTAATTAAACAAGAACAAAATGCAATACCATAAATGAAATGGATGAATATTTATAAAAGTATAAAATGGCCTAATTAACGGAACAGAAAATAAAAAATTTAATCCAATCAGAGGAAAAGAAAGTGAAGAAGCGATAAATAAACTAGCAAAGGAAAGCCCCCAGGACCAGATAGGCTTATAGGCAAATTCAAACAAATGATCAAAGAAAAATTAATTCTATTGTTACATAAGCTGTTCACAAAACTTCTAACAAATTCCTTTTTGATAAAAATATGGTCCTGCTTCCTAAATAAGAGAGAGACCAAAAAAGAAAAAACCACCAGGATGGAGTTATCCCAGGAATGCAGGGCTGGTTCAATATGAAAAAAATTATAAACGGTAAAATAATGATTTTATTAAGAGACACAGAAGTCTTCTGAGGAAAAAAAAAAAGCATAAACGTCTGTAAACACACACACAAGAACACTAAAAGTAATGCAAGAAAGTGACTTTTCCTTAACGTGGTAAATCGTATCTAGCTAAAACTCAGAGCCAGCATTCTGCGTAAGTGGGCTGACATACATAAACTCCAGACTTTTCTAAGAGGCTCAATGAAAAAGCAAAGACGTCCACTGTGCATCATTATCTGATACAGTGCTAGACGTGCTGGCTAGAGCAATGATGGACTGGCACTGTGGATAGAATGCTAGGCCTCAAGTCAGAAAGGCCTGAGTTCCAAAATGTCCTAGCTGTGTGACCTTGGACAAGTCACATAACTACTAGGTGCCTCACTTTCCTCATCTATAAAATGAGGATGTAACATACAAGTGTCCTTGTCAGGTACTTGTAAGAATCAAGTGAGATAATTATTGCCCGGCACGTTGTAAGTACGATATAAATGTTAACCATTGCCATTACAAAGAAAAGAAAAAGAAATTGGGGAAATAAGCACAGAAAAGGGGAATCAAAATGATAGTGGTTTTTTTTTTTTGCAGAACAGTAATTTCCACAAAGTTGAAGTATATAAAATAAATAAAAATCAATCAGCATATTTGCACATCACCAACAAAACTGAGGAGGAGAAAGAGAAATTACATGCAAGGTCACGACATGATAGATAAAATAGAGGGGCATCCACTGGAATCTATCTAAAAGTACAAGATGTACTTTATGGAAATAAAGACAAATGCAAATGCAAATGATGCAATGTAAACGGGCCGAGCTGATGATAAAAATGCCACTGCTAAATTAACTCCCACATTCAGAGAGGGAGGGAAACAGCAGCACAATTCAGCCGAGGACCGACCACCCGAGAAAGAAGCTGGCAGGACCCAGCCTCAAGCCACCACAAAGTGCAATCACATCCGAGTCCTAGGACAACAACAGGGTCACTGCAGAACAGATCGGGCAGTGACCCGGCAGCAGGAAGGCAGGCAGAGCGGCCCTGTATGAGATAAAGCCTCCAGCGAGGCCCCCCCCCGCCCATCCTGCCCCATGGCTCAGGACTCCCCCTTCCCCTTCCAGATGCTGCTCCCCTCAGCTGCCAAGCCTGCCCGATCACCCCCCCTCAACCCTCAGCCAAGACTGCAGTCACCTCCAATGCCAGGCTTTCAAAGGCCCGCCTTCCCCAGTTTCATTCATCGCCCTGAAGGCCAGGACCCAGTGACAATGGACTTGCTGCCCCTCACACAGCAGGATCCGGCCCCTGTCTGACCATCCACCTTCCTCGAGGTTCCTTCAAGTCTCAAGAAAGCCGCGGCTTCTGCAAGCACCCTTCTGGGCCCCTTAATGACGGAGGCCTTCCCTCCCGGATAATCCCTGGTTTATCCTATAGAGATCTTCCCCAATACATCAGGAGGTCCTTGGAGGCAGGGACTAATGTTGCCTTTCTCTGGACCCAGCACAGAGTAGACACTTAATAAATGCATGCTGATTCAGTTTGGGATAGCTGGCAGAAATCAG